GTGTAGGTAGGAGTGTCTCATTATCTGTTCTCCGTGTGTCTCCGTGGAAAATCACGCTGGATTCTCCCAAGGGGTCCAAGGACCTGGAATTTGGGGTCTGTAGCTGTTGCTAACTTAGTGCCACCTCCCTCCCACCTCGTCGCTTGTGGAAAGGTGGGAGATGGTCTGTTTCGGGGTGCGGTTCCGCGGAAAAGTGGAGAAGGGCACTGATGTCACCTGTTTGCCATCCCCAGTCCCTTGCAGCAGGTGACTCTCTGACTTTCTGTTAACTGAGACGAAACTTGCAGGGGGTGGAGAGCGGTGTCAGGCACGCGGCAGATGGCTTCCAAGTGCTACCTGGTATTATCACTGTCCCCCCCCCGGCCCCCCCAGCCGCCAGCACCTTGCACAGGGACACGGGTGTTGGTGGAGGCGTGAGACTCAGCTCTGTGAACAGGACACACTCTCCCACCTCTGGGTCGTTGTTCATAGTCCTTGCCGCTTCCACCCTGCTTCTCCCTCGGATCTCGGCTTCAAGGCCACCACCTCGGAGCTCCCTCCGGACCCCCGGCTGCAGAAGGTCTCCCCAGCTGTCTCTCTGGGCACCCCTTGTCTTCCGTAAGTGGCCTCCTGCTTCTGTCTTTACAACCCCGATCCCATTTCTATCCCTTCATCTGCTTTTCTTTTCTCTCTTCTTTCCTCTTTTCTCTTCTCTTTTCTTTGACTTTTTTTCCTTTGCTTTTTTTGTCACATTTTTCTAAAATTTTTTTTTTCAACGTTTATTTATTTTTGGGACAGAGAGAGACAGAGCATGAACGGGGGAGGGGCAGAGAGAGAGGGAGACACAGAATCGGAACCAGGCTCCGGGCTCCGAGCCATCAGCCCGGAGCCCGACGCGGGGCTCGAACTCATGGACCGCGAGATCGTGACCTGGCTGAAGTCGGACGCTCAACCGACTGCGCCACCCAGGCGCCCCTGTCACATTTTTCTAAAGAAAACAACTTTTTACGTTGAAATGACTTGAGATGCATGGAAAAGGTGTAAAAACAGTGCAGAGAGTTCCAGTGACAGAATCGTCTTGTGTAACCATGGCATATTCATCGACGCAAAGACGCGAACGTTGGTATGGTGCAGGTTTATTTGTATCTCACCAGTTTTTCCACTAACGCCCTTTTTTCTCTTCCCGGATCCCGTCCAGGAAACCGCATTACATGTAATTTCCACGTCTCCTCAGTCTCCCCTGGGCTGTGACAGTTCCCCGGGTGTCTCCGGCGGCTCGGGCTGCTGCTCAGAAGACCACAGACGGCGGCTTGTAAACAACAGAAATGTACTTCTCACACTTCTGGAGGCTGGAGGTCTGAGGTCAGGGCCAGCGTGGTCAGATGAGAACCCTCTTCCCGGTCACAGGCTTCTGGGCGTGCTGTCCCACTGGAAGGAGTGAGGGGGCTCTCTGCGGTCTCTCTTATAAGGGCACAAACTGCTGGTCGCCTAGGTGGCTCAGTCGGTTAAGCATCTGACTCTTGGTTTGGCTCACGGTTCATGGGATCGGACCCCGGGTGGGTCTCTGTGTTGGCAGTATGGAGCCTGCTTGGGATTCTCTCTCTCTTTCTCTCTCTCTCTCTGCCCCTTCCCATCTCTCTCTCATGCTCTCTCTCTAAGTAGGTAAATAGATAAATAAACTTAAAAAATATACGTGTATATACAAATGCCATTCATGGGGGCTCCACCCTCGTGATCTAATCACCTCCCAAGGGCCCCACCTTCAACCCCATCCAGTTGGGGGTTAGGGTTTTGACCACTTAGTCAGGGTAGCGGGCGTCAGATCTCTCCACTGACCATGACTCCCCATCCCTCCCTGGGCTCTGTTTGTAGAAGCAAATCGCTCAATCAAGCTCAGGTTCCTTCGCACCTAACACCAACGAACATGCATTGTTTACTCTTCTTTCCTATTTTATTCTTTGTTATTTTTTTTATTTTATTGCCTGTCCACACAACAATGGAGCCCCACCAGGGCAGGGACTTTTGTGGTGTTCTTCGCTTATTTCCAACACCCCGGACGGTTCCAGATACACAATGGGCATTCATAAACACCTGTGGACGAACAAATTGTCCTCGCCAGTTTACAGTCCTATTTATCTGGTTGTTTACCTGGTATGGCCAGAGCCCGCGTCTGCTGGATGCACCGCTGTGCCCTTGTACGGCTTCCATGACCGAGTCCCCTTCAGCACCCTTGGGCTGAAGGGTGCTGAAGGCACCAGTGGCCTTTGGGTGAAAGAGCTAAGTAAGCGAGAATGGGATGGGCAGGGCTGCTCATTGGGTGGGAAGTGTTTCCTCTTGGAGCCCAAGGTCATTTTTCTGGTCTGAGTCTCTACAGGAGAGGTGGGGGAAGGAGTCCGCGGCTTAGCATGGTCCTCCACGTTCCGGTGGCAGGGGGGTCGCAAGGGGGAGGTCCCGAGAGTCCATGTGGCCGGAGGGGGGGAATAAAAGTGCGTTCCCAAGAACAAGACTGACTTGGCAATAGCTGCAGGAACTCAAAGGTAAGCGACTGTCACGGGCTACGTTGTGTCCCCCGCCAAGTTCATCTGTTGAGCTAGCCCCCAGCACCTCAGAATGTGGCTGTACTTGGAGGAAGGCCCTTTCAGGAGGGGATTGAGTTAAAGTGAGGCCGGTAGGGTGGGCTCCGATCCAGTCTGACCGGTGGAGGCCGCGAGACGGAGGAGGAGGTTAGTACACCGCGAGGGAGGACCATGTGAGGGCACAAAGAGAGGAGGCCATCTGCGAGCCCAGCCAAGGAGAGGGGCCTCAGGAGGAACCCGGATCTCAGACTCCAGCCTCCAGGACTGTGAGAACATTAATTTCTGCTGTTAAGCTGCCCTGGTCGTGGTACTTTGTTACGACGGCCCTGGCAGCCTAACACAGTGGCTAAGAAAGAGGGTCCCGAGGAGGACGGTCATGCCTGCATGTGAGGTCCCGCAGACCCATTCATCCCCTTAGTTCACCAGACAGGATGGACGAGGCCAAGAGAAGAAAGGGAGGGCGGGGGCTCCGGGGGCGCAGGTGTATGGGTGCGCGCGCGCCCCCTAGAGGGCCTAGTGGGGGCTTGCGCTTACCTGCCGGTGGGAGCCTGAGGGACACAAGGGGTTCAGGGGGCGCTCAGGGTGTGGCCCGGGTATTCATACCACCCTGAAATCGGAACGAGAGAGAACAGACACCATCCTGGTGGTCCGGGTCCCTGGGGCCCGACCGCAAGCGCCTGCACTGGTGGCGACCGAAGTCCCGCGGTTCCCACACTCTGCAGCTCGCTCAACACCATTCCCCAGCCCTTCCCTCTGCTGGAGTCCCACCCCTGCGCCCAGCCTGCCGTCTGTTGCAGACCTACTTACTCCTCCAGACCAGCTCTGCACCACCTGTTCGGAGAGAGCTTTCCTGACCTCCCCC